AACAGGGATTGTTTGTTGAAGAGCAAATTCTTTTATATTAAAAATGATACTTTTTTTTATGAAAAATAAAAAAATATATTAAGTAATGAAAATTTCAGTAAAATCTCTATTTCATGGCATTATAACCAAAAGCAAAATAGTTTAAAAACAAAATCAGAAGCATAACTTATAGCATTAGTAGTAGATTTAAACTAAGTCCATGACGGATGTAGACAATTAAGTAAAGAGAACCATCTGCAATGCAAATATTGAAATTATTATCATTGTATGGGTTAAATAGGACTACTAATGAAGAAAGGGGAGTCACTATGAGTATTAAGAACTACTGAACATCCTCACCTATTTAACTAGTTTTCTAGGGAGAGCAAGGGATTCCGGCAATAAACAGTCCCTAACCCGCAAATTGTTGCCATATTTGTTCTTAAAGAAGAACAAACAAGAGGGGCCTTCTCCAAACAAACACAAGACCCCCCAGTTGCCTCCATGTTTACCCAATCATGTTCCCATCATTGCCGATCCTCTTCAAACCCATGCTATTGAAACTCAATAAGGGAACTAGAACCCTTTTGTCGGCCTGAATAGCAATCTTCCCACACAGACCATAGCCGGCTTTACTGACAGCATCCCTGTCCTTTTGTAATCGGTTAGCTGATCGAGAACTGGTGTGAACTAGTTTCACCAAATTTGACCCCCACCTAGATCTCATTTGAGGAGATGTGCCAAAGCAAGATTCTTGCTCGTTAAATAAGAGAAACCCACCTCACCGACAAGATCAATTCCAATCGTAACCTTCGAAAATCAACAGATGTAAACTCTAGAAAACCCAAATATGCTGCTGCCTTGTGGTCCTTTGGGTTGGAGTTTCGAAAGCAAGATAGTGACAAGATGAAGGAGGAGATCAAGAGGAGGAAAGGAGGGGTAAGAAGAAAGGAGGGATGAAAGAACTCATCTGTCAAAGAGAAACCCTAGGGAGGAAAACCCAATGCCACTGCTCTCAACGTTATAAGCAGTGCATGGGAGAAACCCTAGGCAGGAAAACTTGTTGCTACTGCTCTCAACTCTATAAGTATGCAATTGAGGGTAAAAAAAAAAGAAATGATACCCTTAAATCAACTTTTCTTGTTATATAGTGAGAATTGTAATATCAACATTTTTCTAAAAAAAAAACTAAAAATATAAAAAAAATAAGGGTTTTTTTTTTAAGATATAAGTTGAATGTATAATTATTATATATTTTAAATATTAATTAATATTAAAAAAATATAAAAATTATTATTAATTTTTTCACTAGTTATATGAAAATTATTTGAATTAAATAATTAGTTAAATAAAAATAAATTTTTATATTTTTAAATATTAATTATTATTAAAGCATATAATAATTGTACCATCAACATATATGATTAAAATATGCATTTAGCTCATCATTTTAATAAATTTGAAGTTTTTAGTCTCTCACCATATATTATGAAGTTTCTAGCTCCTGAATTTAAAATTTTGAAGATTCGTTAACTTAAAGTAAAAATAAAATATTTACAGAATCAATTTTCAAAAATTAAAAATGTAATAATTTAATTCAAAAGTTTAAAAATTAAAAAGATTACAAAATTAAAAATGTTTAGTGGATAATTTTGCCACATACATGAAAACGATATTATATATCTACAATCAAATTAAGTGATTAGCTCAATCTAAAAAAATATTGATTGAGAATAAAAAGAAAATTAATTATATTCTTCTAATTTCATGAACTTTATATCTTTAACTCAGC